GCCGAATCGATTTTAGTGCCTATAACCTAGTATCGAATCAGTTAAAACTTAGGAAATAATTGTCAAGCGTCACAATTAACAGACATAAGCTATGTACTACTTGAATGGTTAATGCAAAGAAAAGTTGCGTTATGGGGAATCTTAAAGTTTGTCATTGTTAAATTCACTTTCATCGTGATTTGAAGTGGGAAAGAGAGATTTGGTGGTTAAGCGAACCAGAAGAAGATGGCAGATTTCCACTTGGTCCACTGCCATGTGGCTTTAATGGAAACTTCCCATTAACTCTGTGCCCAGGCGATTTCCTCCAATTCCGGTTAAAACGTGCTCAGCTTTCGTCCGTCGATAGGATCAACCTTTGATTCTGTTAATCATCCACCTTCAATCGAAATGGAAGTGAGCTCAGCAAGTAAACTATTTTTACCTCCACAATACATGTTGACTGAAATTGAATCATGGCTGCCTTTGTCTTCATTGGCGCCGAGAATCTGTTGTCAGGTCAGCTGTATGGGCGGGCAAAATTGCGTTTACTGTAACCACCCGTGAGGTTTATGAATAAAAAAGGCCTATAGGCTCAAGTTTCCTATATATCCAATGTAAGATCTCTTTGTTTTATAGTTTTTTTAGCAATTCTTCCTTCTTTAGGTCACCCGGATGAAGGAAAAAGTCAGTCCACTCTAATTATCACTATAGAATTTAGTCTATGCGTCTCTCTCCCATATAGCTAGCTCCTTTCAATGGGCAAGCTATACATATCGTCTCGATATATCCAATAGTATAAAATTATCATATAATACTAGTAATAATAATACTAGTGAAAGTGTGATATACATTTATTTAGTCTAGTTGTCATTTGGTGACTAAGTCTGCACCTGCTCAGTTTGATACAATGTTTCTGCTTTAGAAAGAACGGATCTTTTAGCAGCACGGGCAGGCCTCAAATGGCCATGCGCGATCAGCATCTTTCTTTTCGTGACCGCCTCAGCTCAGTTGTGACAATATTCAGGCCAGATCATGCCTTACTAGTCTGGCAGAAAGCGGTTGACAGACACTCTGATGACGATTGTGATGTCAATAATGAAGGACAGACAATTTCAGCCCACCGTGCTGAGAGAGGAGCTTCTTGAATTGCACTGACACTGATCTAAATTGCCAGTCAATCTGAGAATGGGCTGTCCTGGCGATTGCCCTTAGCTCCTTCAAGGCCGGTATTAGTCAATTTGCAGCCAGTGTCAAAAGTTACAGCCTCCAACTATGTCATGGACAGGATTGTAGAAGAATCAGAGTTCCGCTCTGCAAGCGCACTGCTAGTGAGACATTGGCGACATTTTTCAGTTCCATTTATCAGCTGAGCCAAGAACTTGTCTGTCCCAAAAAAGATGTGCACTAATTGAACTCGGCTTTTTGCCTGGCTGAGTCGGCTCCTGTTTATCACCCGCAACTATCTCTTCGGATAGCATTCAGGGTTGGTCTTAACCTACTGCTAAAATATATTCTCACCTCCATACAGGCTAAAATGGGTGGATAAAGCGCAACAGACAAATCGTAAAAATAGCCTTGCTACTAAACAATGCATTTCAGGAACTGCATCCAGAAGGATCTTCTGTAAGTTGTGCACTGGGAGTCATCCAGCAGCGAGCCTCATCAACAATATTTATTCGCTATTGTATTTAAAGGGCTCAAATACTTCAAGTATATTATATAAGTTTGATGGAAATAACAATTTAAAATTATGGATTTAAGTTAAAGACTTCCTTAAAGGCAATAGAAACTGTGAATGCACTGCACATAAAAAGGTATTATATGGAAAAAACAATCCCATTTCTTTATGTGGCAAAGAAAATTACTATAATTAACCGTAGTTTATTGGCTGCATAAACTGACAAGAATTATGCAGACTGAACCACAAATATGTAACTATATGCAATAAATTATACATAATCAATAAATGCTGATAAATTATGGTGTATATGTCTGTGCACATACACTTGTATGATACGGCAATATCCAATAATATTGATTATTATCTTGGATTCCAATTAATCTTTCGGGTCTGTGTATAGCCTTAGGTTATTTTATACTTAAACAAGTTGTATTTTGCTTATTATTTATTTTGAAACCAGTTCATCGGGGCACATAAAGAGGAGCTCATGTAGGCTTGTAGCGTTTTGCCATAATGACTGGTCTTATCTTACTAAATATGCATCATATGCTAACATAATGGCATAAATGTATACATAAATATGCTATATAAGCGCATACATATGCAAAAATAGGGGTGTATGTTTTTATGTTTTATTTGTGTGCTTACTTGTGTGTGTATTTGTGTGTATGTTTGTATGTGTATGTGTGTGTGAGCATGTGTGTCTGCGCTGTAGGCAGTTAATGATATTTGAAATGTTGACGAGCAAACAAGTTGGGACATGCTTCTGCCTCTTGTTGATTTTCTTATGAATAATGGTACACATCCTTGTAAAGATAAACAACATAAACAGCAAGAGCGATGGGAGGCACGCCTTTGAATGCAGCGCATGTGCGCAGCGCGCAATTGTATAGGCTTTGAAGTTTACGCAAGCCTCATACTTAGTCTATGGAAGGACATTAGGATTGAAACCGAATGAAATGCGTGGCTGTATTGATTGGCCTCCTTTCTCGTACACTTGCCCGTCTACGCGTTTGGTCTCTTCAACACCCAAGTCCCTTGCTCTACACAGGCGCAGGGAGTTAAGGAGACAAAGAGGAGGCTGTCGCTACCTGACACGACCGACTACACCTCCACACAATCGCAAGAGCACAGTAGTGCAGCACAAAAAATTAATTGAAAAGAAAATAAAAAGGATAAACTATACACTTATACCAAATCACCCTGACTACGCCAAGGATAGGCAGTGCAACCAATTGCGACAGTACACAATCTATGGTGTCATTCGTGCGCCTACTAGCCCCTCATGAAAAATTGTGTACAAACACTCGCACATGTACACATGCACATGTAGATAACACGCAAGCACTCACGAACTGACCGCTTCAATATGCCTCTAGGCATGCAGCATAGATAAAAAAACAATACCGGTAAAATGCATGTAGTGGTCGAGTAGTGGGGCAATGACAACGCGATAGATAAACCATTGTTTACGAGCATGGATAATGTCATACAAGAGTATGACAACTTGAATATGAGGCTTAATCGGATTAATGTTGCCTGTTCCAATAGGAGCATTTCACTCTCCTGTGGATGCAGCCTACCACAAGAGCGATTTTGAGAGGGCTAGGGCCTCTTGACGGTGCATTTGCCTTGGTCTTCCCAGCGGCAAGCCATAATACAAATGATGTCTACCGGCATGGTGACCAGTCTCCATAGGAGCCCGCGATCAATGCCGTGTTTACTCTGGCCTTTACAGCACTAAAAGTAGAACTATTACAACGATCATGTATGCGTCTAGAGGGAAAAAAGCATTTCTCCACAAAATGTAGCTCCGTGTATAAAATAAAATTGAGTCCGACAAACTTTCATTGAGTGAGGAGTGGAGATAAAATCGCTACTGGATTGGGAAATTCGAAATCAAGCTGCAAATTATTCTTTATGAGAAGATCAAACTAATTAATTTTCAATTATAATTTCTCTAAACACCATCACCAATTCTTGAATATGGAGTTAGTCACCTTTGATCGCATAAAATGAAATAAGGAAGTTGTTTGACTTTGTTTTCGCAACTTGGTCATATTGGTATGAAGACTTAGAGGAACGCACCTAGTCCAGGGTCCATTGTATGCATCATCATTTCCAGATTAGGACCGTGGACGTGGTACATTCCCAGACGTTTTGCCGGCATCGTCAGTGAGTTAAAGAGACGAATTGCAATATGGTGCTACGATTGGCGA